CTGCTGCCGGTCGAGCGGGCCGTTGCGGGCGGCGGCGGGGGGGCTGAGGGGCCCCGGGGGCTCGGGGTGGCCGCCGGGGACGATCTTGGCGACGCTCTGGTCGGGAAAGTGGTCGCTGAAGAGGCTGCGGTAAAGGTAAGCCTCCTTGGAACGCGGCGGGTTGTAGGGGAAGAGGATGGCGGCGTTGGCAAGCATGAAGTCGGAAACGCGCTCCTGCGCGTGGCGCTGCAGCGCAGCGACCCACTCGCAAGACACGCCGAACTGGTTGTCGACGGCGGCGCGGTCGAGCACGCAGTGCGGGAGCTCGTCCTTGTAGGCGTCGCGCAGCAGCTGCTTGGGGAGGCGGCCGCGGGCGCCGCACTTGTCGGCGGGGTCGATGGCCATGGCGAAGGCGACGAAGTTGACGTCGAGGTAGGGCACGCGGGCCTCGACGCCCCAGCTCATGGAGGCCTTGTTGGCGCGCAGCGAGTCGGTGAAGTGCATGTCCGCGAGCCGGCCCACGATGGCCCTGTGCAGCAGCTGCGGGTCGCGCTGCGCCTGCATGTCCGCGGCGCAGCCGAAGAGGTCCGCCGCGCCCTCGCCCGTGATCACCATCTTCACGCCGATGCTCTTGATCAGCCGGTAGAGGAAGTAGTTCAGCAGCGCCGCGCGCACCGTGGGCACGTCGTAGGACTCGATCATGTAGATCAGGTCCGGCAGCGCGTCGATCGCCTCCTGCGCCTCGAAGGTGAACTCGTGGTGCGTGCAGCCCACGTGCGCCGCCACCTGCCGCGCGCAGGCGAGGTCCCGCGAGCCGCGCAGCCCGATGGCGAAGGAGTGGATCTTGGGCGTCCAGAAGTGCTCGTTCTGCTCCTTCTTGAAGCGCTCGTTGTACAGCCTGCACACGATCGCCGCGATCACCGCCGAGTCGATGCCCCCGTACAGCAGCACGCCGAACGGCACGTCGCACATCATGCGCTTTCCCACCGCCTTCTCCAGCTCCTGCCGCAGCCGCCGCAGGTCGCACGGCGTCGAGGGCACCGCCACGCCCGGCTCCATCCACTGCGGCCG